CCCCCACCCCCACCCCCGAGTAAGATGGACTCCTTTGCTTTCAAAGGAGAGTGCCCCGGGGACACAGCCCGGAGCTGACATCTAGTAAACAGGCAAAGAAAGGCCATCACGCCAGGCGCAGATGCCGCAGATGCCGAGTTAAGGAGCATGTGGGCTTGGGGGAGCAAGGATGCTATTTAGGACGATCAGGAAGGCCTCTCTGAGGAGGTGACATTGCAGCAGAACAGGGTGAGGTGAGTGAGGCACTCACTTCGGGTTCAAAACTTAAGGGCACAGGAGGTGGGAGCCTGGACATGTGAAGGTCAAGGCGACAGAATTTGCTCAAGGTTGCACGTGGCTGTGAGAGAGAGGAGGTGGGAGGACTCCAGGCTGACACAGTAGTGTATCTGATTACTGTCTGGCCCCCCACTACCCTGTGAAACCCACGGGGCAGGCGCTGTGTCCCCAAGCTACAGCCGGCACCTGGCACAGACCAGGCGATCTCAATCCAGGCCTGCTGCCCCAAGTGGAGAATGCGGTATGTTACTGCACGCGGCCACCAGGGGTCAGCAGAGTGCCACCCTGCCTTGGAAGACCGGTTGGTGGCTTTTTTAAGGGAGGGGGGCAGGAAAGCAAGATTAGAAGGAGTAGTGGGGACTGGGGAGGAGGCGGGTTCTGAGAAATGGGGTTGGAAGTGTCCCAGGAGCAGGCTGAGAAGCAGGGGGATGAGCTACTATTCCTGTCATTTCATCCATGCATCCATGCATCCATCCATGCATGCATCCGTCCATGCATGCATCCATCCATCCATCCATGTATCCATGCATCCGTTTATTCAGTCATCCAGTCACAGGAGGTCAGGGGCCAGGCCACGCAGGGCCTTGCACATAGGGCCAGATAATAAGCTGGAAGTTTGTCCTGAGGGCACTGGGGAGCCACGGACACAGTTTGAGCAGGGAAGAGACTGGGTCGGATTTGCGGGAGCTGAGAGGAGGAAGAAGAAAGTGAGGATGGGGAGATACAGGCTCCCAGGAACCCTGCCTCCCAGGTGGGGATCGAAGAGCATGCAATTGATGTAAATGTTAGCCAGACAAATAATATTAATAAAAGCTAACAATTTTTGGACCCTTACAGGTATCAGGCCCTGTTTTAATCATTTTTCATGTGTCAACTTGCTTAATTTTCACACAAACTCTGTGACGCAGGGCTCATCATTATGTCTATTTTCCAGAGGAGGAAATAGAGGCACAAAAGGGCCAAGCGATTTGTCCAGCACGATGAGCTGGTAAGTGGGAGCAGGATTTGAACCCCGGTCCTCTGACTCCTGAGCGCATGGCCCTTCCTGTGGCTGCATAACAAAGGCCCGCACACTGGCCAGCCTACAACAACAGCAGTGTAGTCTCTCCCAGCCCTGGAGGCCAGAAGCCAACAACCACGGTGTTAGCAGGGCAGTGCTCCCTCCGAAGGCTCTAGAGAATTCTTCCCCGCCTTCCCCAGCCTCCTGTGGCCCTCGGCATTCCTTGACTTGGGGCCGCATCTCTCCAACCTCTGCCTCCATCTTCGCAGGCCTTCTCCTTTCTCCTGGTCTATTTCTGTCTTCCTTCTCTCAGAAGGACACTGTGGGAGGTAGGGCCCACCCCGATGATCCAGGATGACCTCTTCTCGAGATCTTGCATTTAGTTACATCTGCAAAGATGCTTTTGCCAAATAAAGTCACGTTCCCACCTTCCAGGGTTAAGACATAAACATACCTTTTGGGGGCCCTACAGCTCTTCCCCATGATACTAATACGAGTATCGCTGTCATTGGTGGTGTTCTTATTACCTTGAAGGGTAGCTCGGGGCTGGAAGGAAGTGACAGGTGCCCAAGGGGAAAGTCTGCAGCCTGGAGAGGGCCGTCCGGAAGGCAGGGAGGCAAGGAGTGGGCGCTTAATAATTGCAGAGAGCTTCGCATCATTGCCCCGCCCTTCCTGTGCCACCTCCCAGCTAGTGCTCCGTCTCGTCCCTTCTCCAGGGGGACTCACAGGGTCCTGGAGAGAGAGTCCCTATCTTTCCGTGGGGAGCCACCCTTGGGTTGGGAGAGGCGGTTGGCCAAGTGCCCTGAGTGTCCCCGCACATCCCTCCTGAGTGTGCTGAACCGCCAGACCTGACTGTCCCCAGACCCTGAGCTGTTTCTGTAGCTGGTCCCCTAGGGGAGCAGATCAAGGTGACCACATAGTGACCACCATGCGCTGCTCGCTCCCTGGGGAGAGCACTGGCTTGCTTGCTGCTGCTCAAAATCAGGGCTGCAGCGTGCATCCGGGGTCCGCGTGGCCTCGCCCGCATCACTTGGGGCCAGGGGACCAGCCCAGCAATGCTGACGCTCCTGCTGTGTGCTGTGCTCTCTCTAGCGTCTCACTCTGTTCCCCTGAGGCTCGTTGTCTCCTTTGGCACTTCTGGACAGGTGACAGGTTAGCCCTTGCCGTCCTCCCCTGACACCTTGGGTGGCCTGAAGGGGACACGATGGAGGCCTGGAGATGGGAGGCCAAGTGGGCAGCAAACAGAGGTGAGGCAGACGCAGGCAGCGGGTCCACACCCAGTGTCAGGCTGAGGGACACTTAGATGTGGGGCCATTTATTGAGTGGGTGGGTGGTGTTTTTCTCTCCTTTCCCAAGTCCTGTATTCTTCCCAGTGACCACCAGTACTTGACCAGCCTACATAAAAGTGCACACACACACACACACACACACACACACGTGCTTTATTTTTTCCAGCACTTAGCTCCATCTGCTGTATATTTTCTGCTGGTTTGTCTATTGTCTGACCCTCCCACTAGGATGCGAACTCAAGTGACAGGAATCTCTGTCCGCTTCTCCCCTGCTGGATCCCTAGAGCATCTCGCACACAGTAGGTGCTAAATAAATGTTTGCTGGATCGATCAAACACAAAAACAGGACAACTCTGGGGCCAAATCAGGCAGCCCAGGTCTCCAATGACCCCTTGTCTTCCACTGAATGTGCTTTATTTATTGTGTGTGTGTGTGTGTGTGTGTGTGTGTGTGTGTG